TCTCTCTCAGGACAGCTGGGCCTCATGGCTTAGGCTGCTGCCTCAACTCAGGATAAGCGGATGAAAATGGATGAATGGTTGGATGAAATTATTGTTTTAGTAATAGTGTTCTGACCCTCCCTTTAAGACGATAGTGTTTGCGTTCTGGTATGTCTCTCCTAGTCTAAAAAGCCCCCCCAAGTCCCGTACTTCAAAAAGCTCCTATACTTTAACATTGCCTTTTCCACTAATTTTAAGGTCACGGTGTGGGTCACAGGAGTGATGTAACTGGTCAGAAATCAGGTCACTTCATTGTCATAACCCTCCCTTTAAGTTGTTAGTGTCTGCATTCTGATATGTCATTCCTAGTCTAAAGAGCCCCTCAAATGTACTCTAAAAAGCTCCTATACTTTAACATTGCCTTTTCCACTAATTTTGAGGTCACGTGTGGGTCACAGGAGGGATGTAAAGGGTCTTAAATCAGGTCACTTCATCATCATAACCCTCCCTTCGAGGTGGTCATGTCTAGCATTGTCACGGTGTGAAAATTTAACCTCACGGTTATTGTGACCAAAATTATCACGGTTTTCGGTATTATCGCGGTATTTTTTTAAACGTGTTACATTTTCAGACAACTACATAAACCCTGTATGTCAGGAAAATATTGTCCTCAGTTTGTGTCTAAATTTTGCCTAAAATTTGTTATTTTGTAATTATGTTGTTTATTTGTTTACATTTTTCCCCTTTAGTATTTAAAATACATTATTTGCCCACAACTTCTTATTTTTTGTCTGTTTGATGTCATCAATTTAAAAATATTAGATCAGATGATACTCGGTACTCAAGTAGCCTTCTAATCAGATACTTTTTTTTACCCTTTCTTGAGTAATAAACCCTATATCAGGAAAAAATTGTCCTCGGTTTGTGTCCTTTCGGTGAGCTTTGCAGATTTGGGAAAATGTCATCAGGCAGTAATCATTGTTAAATTCATAATTATTCTCGCAGAGAGACCAACTCTTAACTGTCCCTGGGAGCCCCGTAATGCATAGCGTCATTTCAAAATGGGGATCTCCGTGACACGGTTTACATGCAGGTAGCGGTGCTGCAGCTGCTTTATATAGTCATTCATGCGCAAAAAATTCCCCCATCCCCGTACTTCAAAAAGATCCCATACTTTAACATTGCCTTTTCCACTAATTTTGAGGTCATGGTGTGGGTCACAGGAGGGATGTAAAGGGTCTTAAATCAGGTCACTTCATCATCATATACCCTCCCTTCGAGGTGGTCATGTCTAGCATTGTCACGGTGTGAAAATTTAACCTCACGGTTATTGTGACCAAAATTATCATGGTTTTCGGTATTATCATGGCATTTTTTTTAAATGTGTTACATTTTCAGACAACTACATAAACCCTGTATATCAGGAAAAAATTGTCCTCGGTTTTTGTCCTTCCGGTGAGCTTTGCAAATTTGGGAAAATGTCATCAGGCAGTAATCATTGTTAAATTCATAATTATTCTCGGAGAGAGACCAACTCTTAACTGTCCCTGGGAGCCCCGTAATGCATAGCGTCATTTCAATATGGAGGTGTCTGCGACACGGTTTACATGCAGGTAGCGATGCTGCAGCTGCTTTATATAGTCATTCATGCACAAAAAATTCCACCATCCCCGTACTTCAAAAAGATCCCATACTTTAACATGGCCTTCTCCACTAATTTTGAGGTCACGGTGTGGGTCACAGGAAGGATGTAAAGGGTCTTAAATCAGGTCACTTCATCATCATAACCCTCCCTTCGAGGTGGTCATGTCTAGCATTGTCACGGTGTGAAAATTTAACCTCACGGTTATTGTGACCAAAATTATCACTGTTTTCGGTATTATCGTGGTATTTTTTTTAAACGTGTTACATTTTCAGACAACTACATAAACCCTGTATATCAGGAAAATATTGTCCTCAGTTTGTGTCTAAATTTTGCCTAAAATTTGTTATTTTGTAATTATGTTGTTTATTTGTTTACATTTTTCCCCTTTAGTATTTAAAATACAATATTTGCCCATAACTTCTTATTTTTTGTCTGTTTGATGTCATCATTTTAAAAATATTAGATCAGATGATACTCGGTACTCAAGTAGCCTTCTAATCAGATACTTTTTTTTTACCCTTACTTGAGTAATAAACCCTATATCAGGAAAAAATTGTCCTCGGTTTGTGTCCTTCCGGTGAGCTTTGCAAATTTGGGAAATGTCATCAGGCAGTAATCATTGTTAAATTCATAATTATTCTCGGAGAGAGACCAACTCTTAACTGTCCCTGGGAGCCCCGTAATGCATAGCGTCATTTCAAAATGGGGATGTCCGCGACACGGTTTACATGCAGGTAGCGGTGCTGCAGCTGCTTTATATAGTCATTCATGCGCAAAAAATCCCCCCTTCCTCGTACTTCAAAAAGATCCCATACTTTAACATGGCCTTTTCCACTATTTTTGAGGTCACGGTGTGGGTCACAGGAGGGATGTAAAGGGTCTTAAATCAGGTCACTTCATCGTCATAACCCTCCCTTCGAGGCGGTCATGTCTTTATTCTGATATGTCATTCAAAAGGAAAAAAGCCCCCCCAAATGTTCTTCAAAAAGATCCCATACTTTAACATGGCCTTTTCCACTAAATTTGAGGTTACGGTGTGGGTCACAGGAGTCATGTAACTGGTCAGAAATCAGGTCACTTCATCGTCATAACCCTCCCTTTAAGGCGGTAGTGTCTGCATTCTGATACATCATTCATGCGCAAAAAATTCCCCCACCCCCGTACTTCAAAAAGCTCCTATACTTTAACATTGCCTTTTCCACTAATTTTGAGGTCACGGTGTGGGTCACAGGAGTGATGTAAATGGTCAGAAATCAGGTCACTTCATCGTCATAACCCTCCCTTTAAGGCGGTATTGTCTGCATTCTGATACGTCATTCTTAGTCTAAAGAGCCCCCTCAAATGTACTCAAAAAAGCTCCTATACTTTAACATTGCCTTTTCTACTAATTTTGAGGTCACGGTGTGGGTCACAGGAGGGATGTACCGTAATGTATAGCGTCATTTCAAAATGGGGATGTCCGCGACACGGTTTACATGCAGGTAGCTGTGCTGCAGCTGCTTTATATAGTCATTCATGCGCAAAAAATTCCCCCTTCCTCGTACTTCAAAAATATCCCATACTTTAACATTGCCTTTTCCACTAATTTTGAGGGCACGGTGTGGGTCACAGGAGGGATGTAAAGGGTCTTAAATCAGGTCACTTCATCATCATAACCCTCCCTTCGAGGTGGTCATGTCTAGCATTGTCACGGTGTGAAAATTTAACCTCACGGTTATTGTGACGTAAATTATCACGGTTTTCGGTATTATCGTGGTATTTTTTTAAACGTGTTACATTTTCAGACAACTACATAAACCCTGAATATCAGGAAAAAATTGTCCTCGGTTTGTGTCCTTCCGGTGAGCTTTGCAAATTTGGGAAAATGTCATCAGGCAGTAATCATTGTTAAATTCATAATTATTCTCGGAGAGAGACCAACTCTTAACTGTCCCTGGGAGCCCCGTAATGCATAGCGTCATTTCAAAATGGGGATGTCCGCGACACGGTTTACATGCAGGTAGCGGTGCTGCAGCTGCTTTATATAGTCATTCATGCGCAAAAAATTCCCCCTTCCCCGTACTTCAAAAAGATCCCATACTTTAACATTGCCTTTTCCACTAATTTTGAGGTCACGGTGTGGGTCACAGGAGGGATGTAAAGGGTCTTAAATCAGGTCACTTCATCATCATAACCCTCCCTTCGAGGTGGTCATGTCTAGCATTGTCACGGTGTGAAAATTTAACCTCACGGTTATTGTGACCAAAATTATCACGGTTTTCGGTATTATCGTGGTATTTTTTTAAACGTGTTACATTTTCAGACAACTACATAAACCCTGAATATCAGGAAAAAATTGTCCTCGGTTTGTGTCCTTCCGGTGAGCTTTGCAAATTTGGGAAAATGTCATCAGGCAGTAATCATTGTTAAATTCATAATTATTCTCGGAGAGAGACCAACTCTTAACTGTCCCTGGGAGCCCCGTAATGCATAGCGTCATTTCAATATGGGGGTGTCTGCGACACGGTTTACATGCAGGTTGCAGTGTTTCGGCTGCTTTATATAGCAACTCGTTGCATTCTCCCTCAACCCAAATCCTCGGATCACGCATTTTAGTTAAAACGCTAACGTTAACTTGCCTTGCGTTTACTGTAGAGTTGTGGGTGATGGTCACGCAGATGTGTCATGAGATCAAAAAGATCCCATACTTTAACATTGCCTTTTCCACAAATTTTGAGGTCACGGCGTGGGTCACAGGAATGATGTAAAGGGTCTTAAATCAAGTCACTTCATCATCATAACCCTCCCTTCGAGGCGGTCATGTCTTTATTCTGATATGTCATTCATACGCAAAAAAGCCCCCCCAAACGTTCTTCAAAAAGATCCTATACTTTAACATTGCCTTTTCCACTAATTTTGAGGTCAGTGTGTGAGTCACAGGAGTGATGTAAATGGTCAGAAATCAGGTCACTTCATCGTCATAACCCTCCCTTTAAGGCGGTAGTGTCTGCATTCTGATACGTCATTCATGCGCAAAAAATTCCCCCACCCCCGTACTTCAAAAAGCTCCTATACTTTAACATTGCCTTTTCCACTAATTTTGAGGTCACGGTGTGGGTCACAGGAGGGATGTAAATGGTCTTAAATCAGGTCACTTCATCATCATAACCCTCCCTTTGAGGCGGTCATTTCTACATTCTGATATGTCATTCATGCGCAAAAAATTCCCCCACCCCCGTACTTCAAAAAGCTCCTATACTTTAACATTGCCTTTTCCACTAATTTTGAGGTCAAGGTGTGGGTCACAGGAAGGATGTAAAGGGTCTTAAATCAGGTCACTTCATCGTCATAACCCTCACTTCGAGGCGGTCATGTCTTTATTCTGATATGTCATTCATACGCAAAAAAGCCCCCCCAAATGTTCTTCAAAAAGATCCCATACTTTAACATGGCCTTTTCCACTAATTTTGAGGTCACGGTGTGGGTCACAGGAGTGATGTAAATGGTCAGAAATCAGGTCACTTCATCGTCATAACCCTCCCTTTAAGGCGGTAGTGTCTGCATTCTGATATGTCATTCTTAGTCTAAAGAGCCCCCTCAAATGTCCCCAAAAAAGCTCCTATACTTTTAACATTGTCCAAAATCCAAAAACTCTCCATGTCCAAAATGTGCGTAAGCCAGCTCCTTAGGTCAACTCAAAGTTGCCCACATTTTCCCACTACTTTTTCCTTTATAAATCCCAAAGTTTGAATGGCAAGTTACTTTTGCAGTTTTGCAACCCCATTTTGTGGGTAAGCAAGCTTTATAAATGACACCCCAGGCCACTATAAAACTTACTGATGTACATCTGCAGCATGCAAGGACCATTTACAGGGGTTGATTTTATTTGTCACAGTTTTCACCCCTTCAGAGTTTGTAGGTATGAACGTTCTTGTTCTCTGCACCATCACAGTTGATTCATTGGTTGAGCCCCAATACATAAAAAATAAATTAAATGAACAGGATAAATATTATATATATAATGTGTGTGTATGTATGTATGTGTGTGTAAGCTGTTGAAATATATGCTCATATATTTATTAATAAATATCTAATATATACATATGAGACTCACATGGTCAAGTGTGATTTTAGTTTTCAGCAGAAACAGACTTTTTTGGGAGTGGGGGTGGGGAGTGGCTCTGCACCTGCACTGGACAGGGGAGCAAAAGTTCATGATGCATTCAGGGAAAATTGGTGTGTCCAACTATACTGAAATAAAAACATCTAAAGAGGTTTATTTGTGAATGCTATGAGTTTTCTGTAAAATGATTATTGCTTAAATATTGCACATGAAATTAGCTCATGCCTGAAGTCTGTTAAGACATTATCAGCTGGAAAACCCTAAATTTTTAATGTATCAAGTTTGCAGTCTCATTGTTCGTGAAAGCAGCATGTGCATTGTAGATGGAAAGTACCGGAGCTGCCCTGGATCTCTCCAACTTTGTCAGTCTTTGACTAATTCTACAGAGGAAAAGAGGAATAACTCCACAGCCCAAAAAGGTAACATATAATTTAAAATATTCCATGAAATCATTTACACTTTTTTTAATAAGACAATTACAGCTCTTATCATGCTAAAACAATTTGAACTGAATTGAGCTGTGCTTGTGAGTTTTAGGTAATTTTCTATCAGAGACTATTGTTTTCTTTCAACTTTAAGGTATGTTTAAAGAAATAAAGACACGCTTTACCTACTTACATTTTTAAAACTTATTTTTAAATTAAAACAAAGTGGCTGTCTGCATGGTAAAGCTACGGGGCCTGAAGTGAGCTGTATTTGTGAGGACTCAAAGTGTAGTTTTCAGTAATTTTGTATCAGGGACATGGTTTTGTCTTATGTAACATTAATAATGCTGTACATTTCAACCAGAGCAGTGTTGTTCTATTTTGTGATAGGGTTCATTAACATTATAAAAAGGATTCAGTGTGATGGAAGGTGTACAATGAAATCTAAAAAGAGAGAAATATTATTTTGTTGGGAAATCTAATCTTTCATAGGCAATGTGGATACAATAATCAGTTTTTGACATTTAAAAAAACCCACTAGTGACGTGTTGGCCACGAACGAAACGGCTCTCAGAGCCGACTTGTTTATGTGACCGTTAGGAGAAAGGTCCCTTCTGCAGGAACTGGCTCCCTCTTGGAGAAGTCAAAGTGAGTTACATAGACTGTACCCGCAGGCCCTGGAGCCACTAGAACACAGCAAAACTTGAGCGCACATGTGCAGCGGGCCTCAGTGAAGCTGACCTCCAGTAAAAGCAAATAGGCTGTGCGGTTAGTTTCTGAGATATTACACTTTATTTTATAGGTTATTCTTAACCCTAACCCAGACTGCACCAAAACAGTTCAAAGTAGTCTACTTTTTAGTGCTATGTTTGTGCTGGTTTGTGCTGTTGAAATATAATTTGTGTTGCTATGGTTTCTGAGATATAACAAGTTTTATTGTTGTGTGATGCTCCAAAACATTCCAAAATAGTCTACATTTTAGTTCTTCGTTTGTGCAGTTAAAATTGGGGCGACAGTGGCACAAACCTATTTGCTTTTACTTTTCAAGTGGGGGAGATCAGCTTCACTGAGCTCCGATGCTGTGAAGGCAGGGAGAGGGGTGGCATGCACAAAATGCCTGTGAGACAAATTACATTAACTGATAAGACCTGTAAATATTGGTGGGGACAAATCTGTAAGAGGAGAAAGGAAAATCAAACAAAGCTTCAGAAAGGTGAGGACATGAGTGAAAACAGGACAGGCACCAAGGTTTGGACAAATTTTAACTACAGTGACAATTAAAAGACAGAGTGTAGATTGTGCAAAGGGTAAATATATCCAAAAGGCTATAATAGTTCAAAACTAATACAAATTTTACTTGCAGAGTTTGTTTTTGTCATTTAAAATGTGTTTATGTAGCTCTCTGCTTCATGTTGAATAAAATAAGTTATTTAAACAATAAACACTTGATAAAATGTATATTGTAGATTAGTAATTCAGTTTACATACAGTTTTATATAATTTCTGGTGATAAATTCATTTAGGAAACGAAAAATATGAGGAGCTGTTTAAGAGCCGAAAGAGCCGGTTCATTTTAGTGAGCCGAGCTGTAAGACCCTAACCTAGCAGCAGCCAGATCTCTATGTGTAGCCTCGTGTAGAGTCTACACATTTAGATCTGGACTCTCTGCAGCAGAAACCGGCTGAAAGAGGGAGGGCTGTGTGGTAGAATATTTTGAACTGACTGAAGGACGCGCAAGGTAGTGCCCGGCTGGCACTAGCTGGCTGCTGCCAGGATAGGGCTCTTGATACGATCTTCAAAACGAACTCCCACCCTACAGCAAAGTGCTGACACACAATTGGATTGACCCATTTTGGGCCGGATGCCGGACGCTTTTAACTAGTGATGGGAACCCTGGATCTTTTAAGAGAACCAGTTCTTACGGCCAGCTGTAACACACCAAACATGGCTTTTTTGCTAGATTGGTTATCTACACTGAACAAAAATATAAACGCAACACTTTTGTCTTTGCTCCCATTTTTCATGAGCTGAACTCAAACAGTTAAAACTTTATCTACATACACCAAACACCCATGACCCTCAAATATTATTCTGAAATCTGTCTACATGTGTGTTCTCGAGCACTTTTTCTTTACCAAGATAATCCATCCCACCTCAAAGGTGTGGCAAATCAAGGGGCTGATTAGACAGCTTGAATAATGTAAAGGAGTGCCTTAGACTGCCCTTCATATTTCAAACTTTGCTAACTTTATTAATAACTCTGCTAAATAGTCATAGCCATAGTTCAAATTATTGATAAACTTGTGTTAAATCATCTAATCTGACATCTTTCCAGACATGCAGAGCCAATGCCCCTCAGGAGCTGGGATTCCAGAGGATTTCAATGAGAAAGAGAAAACAGGTGAGTGACTTCCACATTCACGTGATTGTATGAGTTGTTGTGACTCCTGGTCTATCCACTAACTATATTGGCAGACATCACTTAAAGAGCAAGTCACCCCCAAATCAACTTATTTTTTGCTGATAAACTGTATCAATGAGTGTCTAATAGTGCTGTAGAAATGTGTGGTCATTATTATGGCTTTTTAGTGCATCTTATTTAGAGTTTAAAAATTCAGCCTAAGACAGTCCACCAGTCAGCAAGCTGGGTTCTCTGTCGGAAACCTACACTCACCCTTTCCCTCCGTGATTATGGGAAATGTCCGTTCTCTTCTCAATAAGATGGACAAGCTCACAGCACTGACCAGGTTGCAGCAAGACTACAGACAGTGTAGTCTGTTATTTTTTAAGGAAACGTGGACGAATGAGCTCATAGCTGACTGAGGTTTCACTGGGAGAATTTAAACTCACGTGGGCCGACAGGAGCGTGGAGTGTGAAGCGCAAGAGTGGGGGTCTGGTTGTGTTTAATAATGAGAAATGGTGCAACCCAGCGTATGTGACCATTAAAAATAAACTCTGCACAAATGACATTGAGTTACTGGCTGTTGGTCTCCAGCCCATTACATCCCGAGAGAGTTTTCACATGTAATTGCGCCAGACGCCCCTCCCTGGGTTGCCACCTTACCGCGGTGAGAGGGTTTGTGTGTCCCAATGATCCTAGGAGCTATATTGTCTGAGGCTTATGCCTCTGGTAGGGTCACTCATGGCAAACAGGTCCTAGGTGAGGGATCAGACAAAAAGCAGCCCAATGACTCATTATGATGAATAATATAAATTGACACAGTGTTCACTCACCCGGATGTGGGTCACCGGGGCCCCACTCTGGAGCCAGGTCTGGAGGTGGGGCACGTCGGCGAGCGCCTGGTGGCTGGGCTTTCACCCAGCCCGGCCGGGCGCAGCCCAAAGAGAAAAGGTGGGTCCCCCTTCCAATGGGCTCACCACTTGTGGGAAGAGCCAAAGGGGTCAGGTGCAATGTGTGATGGGTGGAAGCCGAAGGCTCAGATGCGGTCTGATCCTTGGCTACAGAAGCTGGCTCTAGGTACGTGGAATGTCACCTCGACTAGATATAGTCGGACTCACATCAATACATGGGTCTGGCTCTGGAACCAGATTCCTTGAGAGGGGCTGGACACTCTACCACTCTGGAGTTGCCCCCACTGAGAGGCGCCGAGCGGGGTGGGCATACTAGTTGCCCCCCATCTTGGTGCCTGTACATTGGGGTTTACCTTGGTGGACGAGAGGGTAGCCTCCCTCTGCCTACGTGTGGGGGGACGGGTTCTGACTGTTGTCTGTGCTTATGCACCAAACTACAGTTCAGACTACCCACCCTTTTTGGAGTCCTTGGAGGAGGTGCTGGAAAGCACTCCTTCTGGTGACTCCCTCATTCCGCTGGGGGACTTTAACGCTCACGTGGGCAACGACAGTGAGACCTGGAGAGGTGTGGTGGGGAGGAACGGCCCCCCTGATCTGAATTTGAGTGGTGTTTGTTGTTGGATATCTGTGCTCGTCATGGCTTGTCTATAACTAACACAATTTTCAGACATAAAGGTGTCCATATGTGCTCTTGGCACCAGGATACCTTAGGCCGCAGCTCGATGATCGACTTTGTTGACATTTCATCTAATCTGCAACCGCATGTCTTGGACACTCGGGTAAAGAGAGAGGCGGAGCTGTCAACTGACCACTACCTGGTGGTGAGTTGGCTTTGATGGTGGGGGAAGATGCCGGTCAGACCTGGCAGGCCCAAAGGTATTGTGAGGGTCTTCTGGGAACGTCTGGCAGAGTCTCCTGTCAGAAGAAGTTTAAATTCTCACCTCGGACAGAACTTCCAAAATGTTCTGGGGGAGGCGGGGGACATGGAGTCCGAGTGAGCCATGTTCCGTGCTTTCATTGTCGAGGTGGCTGACCGGAGCTACGGCCGCAGGGTTGTTGGTGTCTGTCGTGGTGGCAACCCCCAAACCCACTGGTGGACACCAACGGTTAGGGATGCCGTCAAGCTGAAGATAAAGAGTCCTATAGGGTCTGTTTGGCCTGTGGGACTCCAGAGGCAGCTGATGGGTACCGGCAGGCCAAGCGGAATGCGGCCCAGGTTGTCACAGCATGCTGCATAGTGTTGGAACCCAAGTTTTTTTCATTTTTATTCGTGTTTTTTTAGTGGTCGAAGGTTACATTACTAGATTACTGCCTATGTGTATATACATGTACCTATATCATAATTTTCTTCTGATTATCCCCTTAAGTGTTGGTGCTGCTGTAACAAGTGAATTTCCCCACTGTGGGATCAATAAAGTGTATTCTATTCTATTCTTCCTAAAGGATTATTAGGAACACCATACTAATACGGTGTTTGACCCCCTTTTGCCTTCAGAACCGTCTTAATTCAACGTGGCAGTAGCCACATTTACATGCACATATTTCATCAGATTGAACGCCCAATCAGATAAAAAATTCTGCATGTAAACATGTCAATCAAATATTCTGATCCGATTTGGCCCGATCGGATTGAAATTTCAATTCGATTGAGGGAGGTGGTTTTGTCCGATCATCATTCTGATTGACGTGCATGTACACAGCTATTCGGATTGTTGGGGTAAAATAATGCCCACTGCGCATGTGTGCAACAGCGAGCGGGCCTCTCCGCTGTCATTTGGACTGCCTGACTTCAAAAATGACAGCGTAATCAATGAGCAGAGGCTTTTAAATTTGATAACAAGCCGTCCCGTTTCAGTAATATTTAATTCAGAACTTGCATTTTGTAGAAGTAAAATAAAAATCTGATTATTGCACAAATCACTCGACAAACATTTTCAAATCTGTACTGGAAATACCCAAGTTTATTGCGGAGGTTGCAGCGCACAGATCCCCGTTTCTGTCAGCTTTGAACGCAGCAACTTCTGCAGCAGGTGATGGAGACGCCAGAGACGCTTGTAAAGAAGACAGGATAATATCAGTTTTACAGACCTGATTGGAGGCTGATGTTGGGTAGGAAAACATCCTCGGTTAAATATTCTGGACAACAGTAAAGTCCGTGTTAAAAGCACATTAACGCAGATGACCTGAGATGCGGTTCGTTAATGATGAACACAGGCTTCTAAACTTTCTGAACGTCTTCTGTTGTTTTATTTTAAACAGATTTTTCTCAACAGTTTCAGCTGATTGTCACATGTTAAGAATAATAAGCCACAACAGAGCTCAGTAATAAAACATGAGTCTAAACGCCCCCATCCCCACTCTGCGCCACAGTGCAGCGCAACGGCATATCTGTCACTTCAGACCCACGGACCAGCTGATCAAGAGGCAGAAACATAACCCTCCCTTATTTTAATCAACAATAAAAATGCAGCAAAGCATAGATCTGCAGTTATTCACTGAAGAAAACGTAACTTCTATGAGCAAAATAAAAATATTGAAGTGAATAAATGAATCGGGAAAGCAGGAAGAATTGTTATTTCTGTTTTTACATTTTTCATTTCGTTTCATGGTGTTTGTTTACAATTTTTCTTCCGGGAAAGGCAACTTTCTGCGCATGCTCAACCTATTTAATCGGATTAAATGCTTGATGCATTTATAAGCACGGCATGATCAGATCATTTCAGTTTGTGTCCATGTGAACAGTGATTCAGAAATTCCGATCAACCAAGATTTGAATTGGATTGAGGAAATTTGGTGCATGTAAACATGGCTACTGAGTCAACAAGTTGCTGAAAGCATTCTTTAGAAATGTTTGCTCATATTTATAGGATAGCATCTTGCAGTTGATGGAGATGTGTGGGATGCACATCCAGGGCACGAAGCTCCCGTTCCACCACATCCCACAGATGCTCTATCGGGTTTAGATCTGCTGACTGTGGGGGCCATTGTAGTACAGTGAACTCATTGCCATGTTCAAGAAACCAATTTCAAAAGATTGGAGCTTTATGACATGGTGCATTATCCTGCTGGAAGTAGCCATCAGAGGATGGGTACATGGTGGTCATGAAGGTATGGACATGGTCAGAAACAATGCTCAGGTAGCCTGTGGCATTTAAACCATGCCCAATGGGCACTAAGGGGCCTAAAGTGTACCAAGAAAACATCCCCCACACCATGACACCACCACCACCAGCCTGCACAGTGGTAACAAGGCATGATGGATCCATGTTCTCATTCTGTTTACACCAAATTCTGACTACCATTTGAATGTCTCAACAGAAATCCAGACTCATCAGACCAGCAACATTTTTCCAGTCTTCAACCATCATATTTTGGTGATCTTGTGCAAATTGTAGCCTCTTTTTCCTATTTGTAGTGGAGATGAGTGGTGCCCCGTGGGGTCTTCTGCTGCTGTAGCCCATCCACCTCAAGGTTGTGCATGTTGTGGCTTCACAAATGCTTTGCTACATTCCTCGGTTGTAACGAGTCACTTCAGATATTAAATAAATAAATATAATAATAATAATAATAATATACGGAATATTAAACATTGAACTAAACTGAATACGAGTTCAACGTACCATTACACCCCTAGTAATGATTGTGGGTTGAGACACCTGAATCAGAATGCGAAAACATTATGACTCAGTGGATTTAAAAATACACACAGATGATGGAAAAAATCAGAGTATGGGGAAGCTGGCAACTCCTCCTTTTGTTGCATTTTTAAAATGGGAAGTGTGGGTGAAGTTATACTCTGGGGTGACTTGCTCTTTAAGGAAATTATTACTGTTGTGTCTATAGCTTGACATTAGATCTATTTTTCTTTTCTTTGCAGCATCTTTCAAAAGATAAAAGCTGAGAAACAAAAGCAATGGGCTCGACCAAAGTTCTGAAGGTCAGTCAATGATCAATGGCTTACTGAGATTGGCGTGCCTCCGTTTCTTTTTATAATGCTTTAAGTGGATTTTTTTTTCATAAATTTCATATCACTCTAGATGAACCCACCTTGTGCACCCAAAGGCCTACAGGGAAATCAAAGAAGAAGCAGACCAACAAAGGAACACCCACCCATTCCCCTTCCCTGCTCACTGTCCATGGTTTTACTCAAGGTTTGGTTCAGATTTTCAAATATTTAAGTAACTGAAAATGGCTAACATGCAATTCATTCTCCCCATAAAAGACTGAAAGAGATTACCTTAAAAAAAGAAACTGAGGTTTGACATTTTACAACAAGTATGAACAACTTAACTACTTAGGGGCAGCAGTAGCTCAGGAGGTAGAGAGGATTATCCAGAAACCGGAAGGTTGCAGGTTTGATCCCAGCTCCAACCAGAGAGTGCTGCTGTCGTGGCCTGCTGAACACTGGCGCCACCGGTCCCTCTGACCACCACCAGCAGGCAAAGCGAGTTAAGTGCCTTGCCCAAGGAAACAACAGCAGCAGATTGTGTTGTGAAGCGCCTTGGGGGCCTTAGAAGGCGCTATACCTATACAGGCCATTTATTCCCATTAATTTCACATTGTTGTCCTTATTATAAATACAGAAATGTATTTGGGATGTTTGAGTTCACATAAACCTTTATAGAAAGATGGAAGTTCATCAAATCATTACCATATTAACATTTTAGGCACAAAGATACTTGACTTCAGTTTTCCTTCAGTTAGATGCTAAACTTTTTCTGTTTATCAACAACAATTATAGATCTGTTGATACATTTCCTAGCTACAGTTCAGAGTCTAAAAAAACCTTGTATTAAGCCATATAATCTAAAATGTTTTTGTAGATCATCCAGATATGATGAGCCAAGAACCTTCAGGAGCTGAGTGGTCTAAGGAGTCAAATGGAAAGGACAAAACAGGTGCGTGGTTTCCACATTCACACACACGGACAGAGATGTTTTGCTTTCGGACTTCTCAGTCTCCTGGGGAGTGTTGTAAAGCAGTTCCCCGCCAGGACAACAGGGCGTAGCACTGCTCTGTGTTATCCTGCCCAAGAGAGTGCATTTAATATTATATAATAAACACAGAAACTGTGCAAATAACAAAAGTCAGCAGGGATAAAAAAGCTGTTTACTTGGTTTGTGGTGATCTTGGTAGTTATAAAGTTTAACAGCTGCAGAAAGGAAGGATTAATGACAAAATGCCTTCATACACCTAGAATGCGTAAGTCTGCTACTGAAGGAACTCTCCAGCTCCGTTGTCAGCTTCACGCTTGGGATGGGAAACATTGTCTAACCCCCAAATTCCACTACCTCCGCTCCGACACGAACGCCGGAGCAAAATCGGTCCCGTTGTAGTCAATCAGAGCAATTCCACTACTGCGGCTGTGCTCCGGCAGTGCGGCGCCGTGCGCCGTCCTCTGTTCCGGCGTCCGGCAAAAATAGAATCGATCCTATTTTCGCCGGACGCCGGAGCACCTCCGCAGTCAATGGACAGAAATCACCATCGCCCAACAGGAAAAGGAGCAAGCACAACTTCCGTTTTTCACAATAAATCGATAAACAAAAGGCGTTTTTTGTTTCATATGCACAGGTTTAACAACTTTTAACAACTATCAGTGGCGGCTGAAGTTTAAATGCACAAAAGTTAGCCATAAATACAGTTTTCACTATCAAACACTTTGTTGATCCAAACACTGCTGATCTCTACACAAATGATGGGCAGATTAAACAGTTCATGCCGATGCTTCTCCAACACAACGGGTGTTTGGATCTAACTTCCGCGTTTATTGCTCGGACTGTATCGCAAGATCTTGAAAATCCCACGCATGCTTGTTTGCCCACCTCAGGTCTCCGCACCGGAGCGGAGCCGTTGTAGAGCGCATACCGGTAAAAATTGAGTTCGGAAGCGAGCGGCTGCGGAAGGCGGGGGCGGACCGCAGCGGAGCGGAGGTAGTGGAATTTGGGGGTTACAGACGTTTGAAAAACTTGTAGTAAGTAATTTAATTTCAAATATTTCTGTAGGTCCAACCACGCTGAACCAAGGTCCTTCAGGAACTGGAATCTAAGCCCAGATATAAGCCCAGTAGCTATGTATTTGTGTTTATAAATGTAGGTGTCTTTTTGGGGTTGCTGCGTGATGTTCTTGTGCATTGCAGCAGCGCCATGCAGCAGTTTGTTGTCGTAATGTAGTCCCCGGTCTAAAATAACTCCTGTATTCCTTCCTGTTATTTCATTTGCAGGCTGTGATTATTGAGGTCACCAAAAAATAGGATCCTTACAGAGTATTTTTCATCACTTTTTAATATGAAATGCTAGCTAAAGCTAACCAAATATTGCCATCTTAGGAAATTGACTGGGCTGGTTAGAAAAGGGGTTTTCCCACTGATCCAAGTCTGTAACCTTGCACTGCAAGATGAATTTTTGCAAGATTTGGAGTTTTCTGGATGGACCGGACACGGACTGAGCTGTGAGCTCCCGGCTGCTGAGTTTTGTGTGTAGGGAGGGGCGGGTGCTCTATTTGACTGGCCAATCACAGAGCGTGAAGACAGTCAGTTACCCAATGAGGATTTTCCTTCAGCACGATTACAGATATTTACGATTTTTACTCGTTTCACTTGTCAAAAATGCTTTATCCGTACCGGATACTCTTCTGAAACGAGTATCCGGCTCATCCCTAATCCAAACAGTCAGAATTGAAAACACAACCTAAACATGATGTCATGACTTTAACTAATAAAAGCATGTTTCTTTTTTTTTTTTTTTTGTTACAGACATGGATCAACAGGATTTAACCTCTAAGAAATTCAACCGAAAGATTTGGAGCAAATCTGGGAAAGAAGCGGTTTGGCAACAGTTTGGTCGGTACATCACTCTTGAAAGAGTTCCTGGTAAAATGCTGTGTGTGAAAGCACTCAGTACAGAGACAGCACTTTAGAACAGAAGTTGGGAAGATGTAAAAAACTGCATCTATAACGACATCCCTGATCAAAAAAGAAAAAGGCTGTAGTTTTTGCGTTAAAAGCAGCAGGAGCTGAGTTAATGCATGTAATGTTACAAGCAGAGCATTTAATGATACCTAGTTATTTTTATTTTATGAGACATTGGAAATATGTTAAAAACTATAATTATAACAGCATTGCAGATCAAAAATGTTACAAGCAGAGCATTTTATGGTACCTAAAGATATTTAAATTTTATTACATGTTGGAAAGATGTTAAAAACTATAAGTAGAACAGCATCACAGTAGCATTGCAGGGATTAATCGTTTTGACTATTAACCCTGGTTAACCCCAAGTAAATAGATCTTCAACACCATCAAACTAAAACAAAAAGACAATAGCGTAACTCGTAAGTACAAAAACAAAACTGAAACTGAACACGCGCCCGCAGCAGAAGCATGATCAGTGAAAACAACCATCGGGACTCCTCCATTTCTACCTCGGAAGAGGTTGAATTCTCCTGTGTGGGAATAGTTTAGATATATTAGATATCATCCCACACAGGAGACTTCAACCGCTTCTTAGGTGGAAATGGAGGAGTCCCGAAGGTTGTTGTCACTGGTTCTGCTTCTGCTGCGTGAGCACGTTCAGTTTCACTTTTGTCTTTGTCCATGAGGGTCATGCCATAGTCCTTTTTTTATTGTTGGTGTGGTAGACATCTTTAAGGGGGGTTATCAGGGGTTAATAGTCAAACTGGTTAATCTCTGCAAGCCTACATCACAGCTCAAAAAAGAAAAAAAACTGTAGTTGATATGTTTTATTTTAAAAGCAGCAGAAGCTGAGTTAATGCATGCAATGTTAAATGCAGAGCATTTAATGGTACCTAAAGTTGTATTAATTTATTAGAAGTTAGAAATATGTCAGAACTACTAGTAGAGCAGCATCACAGCTCAAAAAGAAAATAAAAACAATATTTGAAAATTTTCTTTTTCAAAGCAGAAGGATCTGAGTTCATTTATGTAATTTTATGCACCGTGTTTACTTTATTTGGTATCTAAAATTTATATTTTATCAGCAGATGAATTAGAAAGATTTTAAAAACTGCATGTATAACTG